AGGTGAGCTGAGTTTGATATTAAAGCAGAGTAGATGTATTCACTTAATTCAGGCACAGCCTACTGTGTAAAGAGAGACGAGCCGAGCCAAATTCAAAACGTGAAGGATCCAAAGATCAGCACTGATGATCAGTTAAGTCATCCATAAATACATGAGCAGCTCTATTTTAAATGGAATGGTAAACATTCATAGTGGAACTAATCTAACGGAAGCCACTTAGGGCTTCTGTGATGGAGGTAGAACCACCACACTTCTTGGATTTAGAACCAGTGCCTGAGATCCCTGGGGAGGGGTGTCACCCCAATCCTGGAGGTTAGGAAGAGGATGGAGTATTACCTGGTTGCGGATAGACTCCCTGGAGGCCCCTGTAACACTACTCCGGCTTTCCACACACACGACCTCACAGCAAGCCTGGTCCTCATTGTGTCTGCTTTTGCCAGCATTGATGACCCTGCCAGGCCAGAGAGTCCCACATCAGGTTAGACACCAGACTAGGTCCTGGAATAACCCCACCTTAGACACACACACACCCTCTCCTGCCTGTTGGCCAAGTTGAAAAAGGTCACAGCTGCCTGGGCTTCAAGCCAGAGGGAAGACAGGACCAGCAAGAAGTACTACTGTCTGGGTGGCCGAATGGACAACCACATAGGAAGGCCCGCGACTGTAACTGCCTCAGTAATTTCATCCTTGGGCAGAGGAGGCTTTCTGGAAGGTGGTGCTGGGGGTGTGGCCACACAGGGGCAGTAAGTTTTACTTTCTTACCAGTCAAAACCTTACATTCCCATCTCTGTTTCCACCAGCTCTGCCAGTGATTCATGGGTACATTCACCCTCACCCTGAAACTTCCCACTGAAAGTCCCGGTCTCTCTTCCAGTGTGGAAGCGCTCCAGTCCAAGTGGGGTAAGAGAAAACGTAGGCCCACCTGGACTGGGCAAGAGTCTCTTGGCTATAAACTCCTCTCACGCGGGAGCTAAGTGAGGTGGTGAGGGTGAGGTGCCACCCACCACCTCCATCCACGACCTCGGTGCCCCCATATCCCTGGTGGCTTGGATCGGTTTTCCCCGAAAATGCATTAAAAATGTACACGTTCTGGGAGCACGCTGCCGTTCGGGCCGTGCGAACCAAGGGCTCTATTTCCTTGCCCCACCAGCACCTGTCTGTCTGCAGACCCGCATCCAAGGGGAATAATCGCGCGCCGCGGGCGGACCCTTCCCCCGCCCCGGGAAGCCGGCGGCCTTCTGGTGTCGCCGGCTATTTCTGGGTGTGGAGGGGGATGGGACCGGTAAGAAGGACAGGGAACTGGGGCGCTGAGGCCAGGAAGCGGGTGAACGACTCTTTCCACCCGTGATCTCCCTGGGAAAAGGAACTGCTCCTTCTCGAACCTCCCCTCCCTTAGCCTGTGAACCGCGGGCAGCGACTGTGAACCGGCCAACTCATCCTCGGGGCGCCGTGCGCTCTCCTTAGAAGGGGACTGTCCTGAGTCGGCCAAGGGGAGATGGGCAAGGTCCTGAAGAAGGTTATTGAGGCTGCACTCCGTCCGAGAGAGGGCTGGAAGGGTGCAGGCTCCTGGGAAGGTTCCCGGAACGTCGTGTTGGGGGAGGGAGGGCAGCGGCCGGGTTGCGTCTCCTGGGAGGGTGGGAGTCCCGTCCTCAACTGGGAGCCCCGGGGGTGCTCACTCGGCATAGCCCGTGCTCCAGGGCAGGCGGCGACCGGTGTCCGGGGGGCTTTGCACAGCCCGGCCTGCGTGATCGTCGGCGCGTCGCAGTCCCCCGGGGCTCAGCTGAAGAAAGGTGGGTCTGGAGAAGCTCGTCCGAGTCTCCGCGGTCTTCGGGGGCGCCCCGACCTCGCTCCCAGGCCTCGCCGGGGGGCTCTTAGGTGTTTCTGCTGCGGCAGGCGGCGCCGAGGTCGCGTTGGGCAGATCGGGGGACTTAGGGCGCTGGGACGAAGTGCCACCGGAGCTCACCAGGTGCGCCACAGCCGAGCGCACCCGGTTTAGCATGCTGCCTCCCTGCCCCGCCCTCGGCCGTGGCCCCGCCCCCGGAGAGGCCCCGCCCCTAGGGCTCCAAGTGGGCGGTGCCCTCTCTTGATCCAGGCCAAACTTCCTCTGGCTCTAGGTCTTGGGAGAACTGCCCCATCAGCTCCCCGCGTCTTATCCGCATCCTGACTTCGTTCCGCCAGAGTGTCACAGGGGAAGGATCTGTTGTGGGAGGAAAGAGGAGAGAAGGAAACATTTCAGTCGTTCTATAAATTAGACATCTGCTAGATTTAATCCGTTAGAATTTACCCATTGTGACAGGGGTGGGGGTGGGGGGCAGCCTTCCCGCGTTCGGTTCGGGTGGCCAGCCAGCATGGAGAGTTATGGAGCTGAGGACTTCAGAACGAAACACCCACTTGGGTGTGAAGCACGTGGTGTGACAACACCTCAGGCTGGGGGTTGCTGAATGAGAGCAGAGAGCCAGCTGGTGCGGGCTGCTGTGCTTATCCAGTCCGGCAGTTGACCTCCCCGGATCGGGGTCCTGGAGCAAATTTCTGCACTCCTGAAGGCACTGTTCTGCCTAAAAGTCACCTTCACGTTCTAGAGAACAATTGCCATCCGACTTTCTCAGAACTGTTCCTCCGTATTTAGACTTCTGCGGCCAGTTAGTAAGGCTAACGGCATAATAAATAGCTACGATTATTGAGGACTTGCTTCACACCAAGCCCTCTACAAAGTACGTTCTATTCCTTAGGCCACTACACCAACAACCCAAGGTGGGTTACACCCATTTTACAGATGAGGCAGTAAACAATCTCCTATTTTACTAGACTTGCCCAAGAGTCACGCAGTCATATGCATGTCAAAACCTGTTTCTGACGCTGGTTTCTCTGGATTAGGAAGAAAGGCATAGAAACGAATGAGAATCCTAAATTCCCACCCTCAGAGACCCCAAGCAGAACGGGGATGCTGAGCAAGTTCTCTGGCTACCGCCAGGGGGAGGCAAAGGCCAGTCTAAAAACTCGTCTGGGCTGCCAGGAAAGCCCATTGGGACTGGACCCAGCAAAGGTGGGCTGTTTTTCAGTTTTCTAGAGAGGAGAGGATCACTGTCCTGCCTCGGAAAGGGTTCTGTCCTTATACTTAGGATTAGAGAGTTGATCACTACCTGGTTCCATTATCCCCAACACATAGTTCAACAGAAGTCAAGGCCCTTGAGGGAACCACAGACTCCGTGCTCATAGCTGGAATTCTACCTGTAGGCACCCACTTGGAGCTTCCTGACCACACCCTGGGGTAACCTGTGCCTCCCCGAAGGCGTGGCTTGCTTGGTCCATTCATTCAAACAAAGTACACAGATTTGCTGTAAATATGCTGAGCTTTTGGGAGGAAGATGAGTGCAAAGAGAAATGAAGTCACCGGGACAGAGTTAGGGTGGACTGATAAAAATTCAGACTCAAATACAGCAGAAAAGGCATCCAGGGACAAAGAACATTCTGCCACTATGCTTGTTTTCTTCCTGTTTGAGAAAAACTGAAGCCAACTGTCTGATAAATGGGGTAGTGTCAGTGGGAAGCCAAAGACTGGAGAAGAAAGAATACCTTTGGTTTTATTATTCAGTGTTTCTGGGACAGTTTAGCTGTCACTCTTCAGAGTCATCCAGCTTCCTTGCTCTTCACAGCATCCGCAGTGTGGCTGTAAAAGTGGGCCATAGAACAGGGACCCCTGAACTCCAGTACCAGATGATGGACAGGGAGGTCAGTTGCTCCCCCAGACTCTGGGACCATTCTGGCTCCCATCCATAACCAACTCAAGGGCTCTTATCTCATGCCTCTGAACACCTCCCCCCACCTATTCCTGGACCATCACACCCCATCCATCCTGACTTCCCCACACCCGGTTAGAGGTCCTCTCGCTGGGACAGTAGAGAGTGAAAAGGGGGCAAAGCAGGATGTGTTCTCTCCTGGGAGCAGAGAGTCACTCCTCAGAGACAGAGAACCAGGTCTGAGCATCCTCAAAGCAGGCCCCCTCTTAGTCAGGCATGGTAGCATACATCTGTAATGCCAGGAGGCAGAGACAAGAGCATCAGAAGTTAGTAGCTAGCCTGGGCTATATACTAAGTCCAAGGCTGGCCAAGGCTATATGAGACTTCGTCTTAAAGAGGCGGGGGGAACGGCTTTAGCAGATACAGGTGATAAGCCTGATGGTCAAGTTCAAACCCCAGGACGTACACAGTGGAAAGAGGGGGAAAGAGAGGGGAGACCCCATCCCTTGTCCCAGGTTGTGTGCTCAGAACCCAGGACCAGCTCATTCTCTGTTTCTCCCTCACACTTTATACCTCCTGAAATCTACCTTACTGTAACAGTTGCATACCACCTCCCATGAAGAGACGGATTCACAAAACACATCTGCCTCAATTGCTTGATGCATCCAAAATACAAACCTGGTGAAATTTTGTAGTTGGAATTATTTACCATTCTTCTGCTGAAGACATTAGGAACCTCAGATTTGGTTCCCAAGATGAGAGTTATGCTCATCATCCACAGGGCCGAACACCAGCCTCTTGACCTCCTCCAGTCTGGTTCTCCACCCTGGAACTGCCCCTGGTCCTCCCAGGGAGGAGGGCAGCACTTCTGTGCTGGAAGTATTTCCTAATCCCTTCTGGGAGTCAACTGGGAAACCCTGTGGTAAAGAAAACTTCATGCACAAAGGAAGCTTCCAATTCAGTGGTCCTAACTCCCCGTGCCTGGAAAACTCCTCAATAACACTAGAGTGTACTGATCTCTCTCTCTCTCTCTCTCTCTCTCTCTCTCTCTCTCTCTCTCTCTCTCTCTCTCTCTCTCTCTCTCTCTCTCTCTCTCTCCTTCAGAGATACTGTCCATACTGTCTGGCTAAGCAGCCCTATCTGGTCTGGAATTCTGTGTTAATCATATAGACTGAGCTGTCCTCAAACTTGCAGGCACCCTCCTGTTTCCTCTGTACCCATCTCTGCTTTTTTTTTTTTTTTTTTTGGAGGGGGGAGGGTAGGGTCTCACACTAATAGCCCAGGCTGTTCCAGAATTTGTAACAATTCTCTTGCCTCAGTCTCCCAAATTCTGGGGTTATAGGTGTATACATGGTCTGAAGAACTGAATTTTAAGACTTAATGAGCTCAGATTTAACTAACAGCCTACTGCTGGTGTAGGTGAAGACTACTTCCAGCCTCAACGCCCATCTCCATCTCAGAACACCACCTGCCTCCCTTTAACCACAAGACTAGGGACCACATTACTGGAGGTTTTAGGGATCTGTTCTAATTGTCGCGTCCTGTCCTAGATAATTGTCTAGGAAAACAGAGCCCACGGGCTTCTGTCCCTGGTCTCTTCCTGCGCCGCCAGAGGCCGCTGCGAGCCAGCTGTGCCCATGCTCCCCGCAGAGAGCCCCCATGCTGTCTCCTATGAGGCAGCGGTGCCGCAAGGGCTGAAAGAGCAGGGACGACTCCCAGCCAAGAGGCTGTGCTCTCCCAAGCCTGAGGGCGGCAAGCTCGGGAGAATTCGGCTGAACTCCGCAGAGCTGGTGGGTCCAGACCCAGAACATCCCGGTACTCAGAACCGGGCTCACTGGGCTAGGATGCCTGCTTAGCCATTGCTCTGCTCTCCTGGGGCACAGAAACTTGATAACGATTGATCGATCACAGAGCTGGGGACCAGACAACACCCCAGCTGATCACTCCTGGAGAAAGCCCGCCTTTGGGAGTCTAGATCCCAAGCTCAGAGGCATCGAGGACTTCAGGCCAGAAGGTTGAACCGGGGCCACTGCTGTGGAGCAGGTGGGTACCAGAATAAGAATGGGCACTGGAGTGGGACACGAGCAAGCAAAGCAAGGTCGAAGGGTCTTGTTGACCCCCTGTTGGGTCGCAGGTTGCTCTCAGCATCACCTGAATTGGGGATTGGGGAAAACGGCCCAAGGAAACTGAGGTAGATGCTGAAGAACAAATCCCAGAAGATGCCTCCAGAACCGACTGAGGAAAAAATAGGAAGCCAGAGATCCTGAGTCCCCCACTCCCCTAAGTTTTCTGAGCATTGGGGTACCTGGGAGAAATGCTCATGCTCGCACGTTGGACACGACGCTGGTAGAGCTCAGCCAGAAATAGAATGTCACCAAGAGAAGAGCAAACCAATGGTCAAAATGAGGGCCCCCAACACAGGCTAGAAGAGGTGACACACTCAGACCCACTCAGAAAAGAGGCACATCTAGAATAGCAGGAACATACTCATCCTCAGCGGGTGGGCAGCAACTCATCCACCCCCCCCCATTCCCCTCTCTAGGCCTTTCCGAAGCTCAGCAGCCTGTGTGTTTCAGTTTTACTTATCACTGGAGACAGTGAGGAGGACAGGACCTTGGGAGAGAAATGGAGAAGCTCCTGCGGGCTGTGCACGGAAGCCGAGACCTGTTGCACTGCTAGGCTAGCCCTCTGTAAGGACGGTGGCAGAATTAAGCCAGCTCCAGAAGTGTCCAGGGAGTGGCTCACGATGGGTTGGAGGTTTGGGAGTCTCCCCCAGGACAAAGCTGGGAGATCCTGCAAACTTCTCTGACTCTAGCTGTGTCCCAAGACCAGAGAGATGACAGTGCTGATTCTTAAGCCCTGTCGCCCCTGCTTCACTCCTAGGAAAAAGAAAACCCAGCCACTCTTCCCAGGCTCACCCCCACCTCAGGTTCCCACAGTCTGGGGGAGAGTGGGAGCAGGGACAGATTCCCAGAGCAGAAATGACTGCCCTTGCCATGGGAACAGCCTAAGCAGGACTTCCTTCAGTGCCCAGCCCATTCCCTTATTCTCTTCTAAGCTTTCTCTTAGCGCCAGCAGGGGTCTGGCCTCTATTCTAAACTACCTCTGAATTGTTCCCTACTTATGCAGGTGGAATGAGTCTGAGACCAGCAGATGAACAGACGGAGCCCTGAAGACTCCAGGAAGGTAAGTGAGACAGCTGGAGATGGAGATGGGAATGGAGGAGTGGACATCCCTCTAAGGGAGCAGCTGTATCATTTGGTTTGGCCCCTGATACTCCTAGTCTGAGCTGGCACTTGCTGGGGCCAGTGATCCAGGCTGACCCTTGACCTCCCGGGGCTCTTCATGTCCCTTCTGTGGATAGTTTCTCCCAGCTTCTTGATGCTTCTGCTTCCCTGGTTTCTCTCTGGTTCTTGTTCACCTCTGGTATAGATGCTGGGGCCCTGTTTGGTTCACAGGAGAAAGGAGGAAGAGAGTAATGGGCCTAAGGCAGGCTTCTGGGTCCTGTTCCAAGGCAGCCAACCTCTGGCAAGACATTTAACTTCTAGCCGAGGTTTGTTCCTCCCTCCCTCCCTCCCTCCCTCCCTCCCTCCCTCCCTCCCTCCCTCCCTCCCTCCCTCCCTCCTTCCTTCCTTTCTTTGTTTTGATGCATGTGCACCCATGTGAAGGCTGGGGAAGCCTCCGGTAGAGGCTTCCTGCTCTATCACTGTCTACTTACTTCCTTGGGACAGGGTCTTTCCCTGAATCCAGCACTAGGCGGTCCAGCAATCCAGTGATCTTACATCATCTATGTTTTCACATCTGAGTTGCTAGTCTCTTGTTTCCTCAACAAGTCCTCCTACTCACTGAGTCATCCCACTCAGTCTTGTGTTTTATTTTTGTTTGTTTGAGATAGGATCTTCCCGTGTAGCTCCCGCCTAACTCGGAACGCACTATGTAAACCAGGCTGGCCTCAAACTACCAATGATCCTTCTTGCTGCTACCTCCGAAGAGCTAGGATCACAAGTATATGCCACTATGACAAGTCTGTCTTCCTTCCTTCCTTCCTTCCTTCCTTCCTTCCTTCCTTTCTAAGAAATTTTTTTTTTAATTTTCAAGACAGGGTTCCTCTGTACTGTTTGGAGGCTATCCTGGAACTCACTCTGTAGACCAGGCTGGCCTCGAACTCACAGAGATCCGCCTGCCTCTGCCTCCCAAGTGCTGGGATTAAAAGTGTGTACCACCCACACCCGGCTCTTTCTAAAATTTAAGTTGTGTTCAGACTGAATTGCACTGCTAATACAGTTCCATGATTTGAAACTCAAACATGTAAAAGAAAGAAATTGGTGGGAAAAAAATCATTCTTCTTTCTGCTTCCATCTTCTAGACAAGCAATAAATTTCCCTTCTTAATGGCAAACAATATACACTTTCCAGACCTGGTGTGTACATATTAAGTAGCACATGTGCCCCTGCCTTGTACACACTGTGTATACACTGTGTATGCACCTCCTGCTTGTTGTTTTCTTTCTCTCCTGTAAGACTGGATTCTCACTAGAGTCTACTGCACACACCACTACAAAGTTCCCGGATGATTTTGATTCTTGTTCTATTCTGTTCTGTTCGGTGTTCCCAGTTATCTGGAGGGAACTGCATTTTCAGACTCTCCACAGTGTACTCAGCTCCTCTACGGATGGCTGCTGGGGTTATACCCAAACTTTGGAGCTTTATTTGTAAAATGGGCAATAATAGCAGACCTTCGTGCCGTGGGCTATAATCAAGAGCATACAAGTGGGGTGCCTGGGTCAAGAGCTCAAAAAATGGGTGTCAGCATCAGTGTCTAACCCATGGCACAGCCCCTTAATTCACTCTGCAAAATCTCTGCAATGTCTCCTCCACAGGCTCTGCCTTCCTGTTCCCTGGCCCTGTATCACTCATCCCTTCCTGCCTGACTGCCAGCTGTGTGGAGACGAGGTATGTGTGCATCCTGCAGCCTTGGGCTTCTAGAGCGTGGCATGGAGAAGCGGCTGCAGCCGAGTGCAGATGAGCATCTGCCCTGAGCTAAGCAGGGCATTACTTCTCTTCCCAGAATGAGTGAGAGGACCGCGAGCAGCTGGAGCCCAGGCAGCTGGGTGCTAGCACTGTGCCTGGCCTGGCTGTGGATACGTCTGGCCTCTGCTTCCTTGCAGCCTCCAATAGCCACAGGTTTGGGGAAGGTGGTAAGACTAGAGAAGGGTTTTGTAGGGCATCTGGAGAGCCAGAAAGCACCCCAACCCATCCCACAAAGCAGGCAGGTCTCTGGGGCAGGGTAAAATTGGCAGAGGTGACTCCTCTTCTGCCGCCCAGTCCAGAGGAGGTCTGGGTAGACACATCGGTACTGTCTTTTCCAGGGGGAAGGTGTCCTGCAGTGAGTGAGAGTGAGAGGCCCTAGGGTGGAGGCTTAAGTCTAGTCTCCTGGCCTAATTCTGGGGTTTTCCTTCTGGGATGGCTAAAGCCTCTGTAAGCGGATGATCCTCCCCCACGCATTGTAAGCTCTGGGGCCCTTGCCCTCACCCTTAGAAAGTGGAAGGTGGGGGCTGGTGTGAGGGTGGCCTCAGTGAGGTCGGGTAACACAAAGGTTGTGTCTGCTCTTTGCTCCCTTGCGATTAGATAGCTCTCTCCCTCTCTCTGTCTCTCTCTCTGTCTCTCTCTCTCTGTCTCTCTCTCCCCCCTCTCTCTGTCTCTCTCTTTCTCGTTGTGTGTGTGTGTGTGTGTTGAAGGTATGAACTGAGCCCTTGACTCTATGCTAGGAAACACTACCACTGAGTTGCAGCCCCATACTCTTAATTGACCTTTCCATGACCAAGGAGGAGGGGTTTGGGGATCTGCAGCAGGGTGGGAGGGAGGAGAGCCGGTTTGGAGCCCTGGGTCTCCTGATCTTATACTGCTGGCCCAATCAGTCCTGGTAAAGCAGGGCACCTGTGAGGTGATTGCTGCGCATCGCTGCTGCAACCGGAATCGCATCGAGGAGCGCTCCCAGACCGTCAAATGCTCCTGCCTTTCCGGCCAGGTGGCTGGCACTACAAGGGCAAAGCCCTCCTGCGTGGATGGTGAGTGAATGGCCAGGCCCTGGTCAGCCAGGTGGGTAGGGAGGCCCAGAGCAGAGATAAGAAAGTCTGTTTTCACCTCACCATCTGCTGAGCATCTAGTTTCATAGCCGTCTCGAGGCTTGCCTTATCAGTCTCAAGTGATGGAGAATCAATTGTCTTGGAGGAGAAGGCAGACATGGCCAGCCCTGTGTCATAGAGGAAGAAAGCTCTTGTTACAGGCCACACGCACACCTGCCACCTGGTCCACACACACAGAGATGCATTCCCTCACACCAACTCCTCTGCCCACACGCTCCTCCAGAGAGGTCCCGTTCTACAAGCCCCCTCTTGTTCTCAGCCTGCCTTCACCTTCTCCTCGTGGACACATGTGATCGCTCCCATCACACACCCACTCTCCCTCCATTCTGCCCACACTTGTGTTCTCACACTCTGGCGGCATCCACATCACCACGCTCACACATCACCATGCTCACACATCACATCACCATGCTCACACATCACATCACCATGCTCACACATTACATCACCATGCTCACACATCACCATGCTCACACATCACATCACCATGCTCACACATCACATCACCATGCTCACACATCACCATGCTCACTAGCGCACATGCCAGCTTGTGCACTCCTGGATGTGGTTTGGATCTCAGCTCATATACACTAAGGACAAAGCGGCCTCAGAGTCAGCTTCACCTGCCTGCCAGCTTGCCGTCCTCCTCCCCTTTGGGTGGGAAGCAGTGCTGAAGCTGACTGGGATGACCCCCAGCCCTCAGCCTAAGTACAATGCTGCCTCCTTGGTCAGTCCAGGGTAAGGGGAAGAGAAGGGAAAGGTGGCGATCAAAGCCCCAGGTATGTGGGAAGGCGCGCCTCACTCATGGACCGGCTGTGGCCAGTGCTATGCCCCCAGAGCTTAGAGCCACGCCTGCCTCCTTCCCCACAGCCTCCATCGTCCTGCAGAAGTGGTGGTGTCAGATGGAGCCCTGCCTGCTGGGGGAGGAGTGTAAGGTGCTCCCCGACTTGTCGGGTTGGAGCTGCAGCAGTGGACACAAGGTCAAAACCACCAAGGTACGGAGTGGATGCTTCACCCTCCCTCCCATTCCCCCTTCTCCTGGGTAGCACATGGGCCGAGCCCTGGAGGGCCAGGATGGCAGTGCCATAGGTGGGCATGTGAACCGTGAGAATGCATCCCGGACAGTCCTCCTGGGCCTGTCTCCACTCTAGGCACTGCTGCTAAGGGTGGGGTTTGCCTTTGTTAGCAAAACTGATGTCCTGCCCGCCTTGGTTTTCTCCTCTTTGCTTAGCATGGGTTTACCGCTAGAAAATATCATGCCCTTAAGAACAAGTGTAGCAGGGCACAGTGGCACATATCTGTAACCCTAGTACTCAGCAGGAAGATCAGGAGTTCAAGGCTAGCCTGGGCTACATAACACCTGTCTCAAAACACACACACACACACACACACACACACACACACACACACACAACCAACCCCCCAAAAAATCTAAGGGGGGGAATGGTGAAGTAGGAAACTACCTAACTCAGAATTTCTCCTAATGTCTGAATTCCAGAAGCAGTAACCACTCTGCCTACCACCTCTGCCACAGACTGTCCCCTGTCACCTACACCACTCCTACAGCCATTAGCTCCCTGTAGTTCCTACCTGCCCTCCTCTAGTCAGATTGATCTCCTCAGTGACAGCACCTAAGAAGACTGTTATCATCATGACTCGCTGCCTGCCCCACAAAACAAGGGCTAATTAATTTTTTATGAAACTCTTTAGCAGTTCCATGTGTGCCTTGGCTAATTGGTTGCATGCTGTGGCTAATTAACTGCATGTCATTGTCATCGCCATCGGTGCAAATGAGTGACAAGCCAAGGCAGCGTCTCTGCCCCCCAGTCACCACCATACGCAGCAAGAAGGCTAGCAATCAGCAGTAAAAACAGGTTCTAGGGTTCTAAGAAAAGTGGGCCACAACACTGGTAGGTAGCTAGCTACAGCAAGGGACAGTTTGGGGGCTGGAGAGATGGCTCACTGGTTGAGAACACTTCTTGGTTTTACAGAGGACCTGTGTCCAATTCCCAGAAGCCACAGCTCCCAACTGTCTACAGCTAAGTCCTAAAGAATCCAGTGTCCTTATGTGGCCTCAGTAGGCACCAAACACACACGTGGTGCACAGACTTTCATGCACCCATGTGTATAACACCCATACACACAAAACGGGAAAAAAAAAAAAAAAGAAAGTGGGCCTGGAAGGATGGCTCAGTGGTTAAGAGCAGTGGCTGCTCTACAGAGTTCCTGAGTTCAATTACCAGCAACTACATGGTGATTCTGCAGTTGGATATGATGCAGCCTGAGTACTCATATACATAAAATTAAAAAATTGAAAGCTTAAAAAAAGGAAGAAAGATGAGGGTTTGGCTGACTAGAAGGCTGTCTGTAGGCAGCAAAGGAAGATAGCCATTCTGAGACTGTTTATCAAGACTTGCAAAGTGGGACCCACCCCAGAGCTTGGGACATTGTTACAAAGTAGGGTTTGTGGCCTAAAAGGTAGATCATGGCCTTTGAAGTTTGTGTAGTGACTCAGAAGCAAACAATGGTGAGGCTTGTCTGACTAATGTCCGCATGGACCACCAGGTCACCACCACCAGCTTGGATGGCTTTAGGAAACTGGCAACAGTTACCTCTAAGTGACTTTTATGATCAGGGCTCTCTGGCAAGCTACAATGACTGGCTCCCTGTTGTTTTCTCTAACCTTTTTCTACCCAATCACTTTCTTTCTAGGTCACACGATAACTCTCGGGGATCATGGCTTAGGCAGCACAGCCTTGACTGCGCTCTGGACTGAAGAATGACTTCTGCCCACCAGCCAGCAGACATGAGGACTCACTTATCTTGACATGTCGTCCCATGTGCCCCCTGTCAAATGTGACATCAGACTTGCCAGGGCCCTGTTAGTCATGCTGCTTAGCAGAAATGCTTAGATCTTCAGCCACATTCTTAGAGACATGTGCTCTCCTACAAACAAAAGTCACACATAATCCTGTCCTTAAGAAATATCTTGTCAAGCTAGGGAGTGGATGGCAGGCAATTTAATCGGTTTGAAGCGTGTGGTATCTTGGCCTCTGAGCTACCTGCAGTGGATGTGGTGGGAATGGGGTGGATGAGAATCTCATAGATCTTCAACCATTCCCTGATCAGTCGCATCAGTACTGCATGAGTCCTGCATCTCTAGCAAGATTCTAAGATGTTCAAGGAGACACTGTCTCCCGATTCCAAGCCAGTGGGATCTCTTTTGACAGTGCTGGAAAGTATAGATGAAACCCAACAGCTCTTCAGCACAGTTCTGCAGAGGCTGGGCATGTGACTCACACTTTTTGCTGTCTATGGATGGATAGACAGGTCCTTGGGATCATCCCCACCCGAACTTCACATGCATTTCCCCCCCCCCTTGGTTTAATGGATGAGAATGCTGAGTCGCAGAGGGATGGGATGGTTTGCCCAAGATCTCACAGTTCAGGCTTCCAAACCATGGATGCTGAGATTGCAGGCTAGGTCTTGCACGGCAATTTTATCGAGAGAGTGGGACCCTGCAAACAATGTCTGGAGAACAGTGTCATGTTTCTTGGGAGATGGGTCTTTGATCACTGGGGCTTTGATTGAGGCCACTGAACTCCCATCCAAACTAATCCAGAATCCTCACACACTGTAGAATGGATCCACTTCTCAGTCCCCCAGATCCAAACAGTACCCACAATAGCCCAGAGGTCACTCAGCACAATTGCAGCTGTAGCACTGAGATCTGGCATCTTCTGAGATCTTCAGCCATCTCCCTAGATAGGTACTTGGAAGGCAGAGTCAGGCCAGAGGACAGCCCAAAGCTGAAGGTTTTTGCAATCAGGCTGGCCTCCTGGGTGGCTTGGGAGGAACATGCTGGTATACTCTCATCACCAAGGCCTTAGGGAGTGGCGTGTGTTAGAGACCAGCCTGGATGATGCCCCACCCATGAGAAGACAAACCAGTGACATGAGCAGTAATCTTAACTTCAGAAGGCAGCCCTCTAACAGTCTCTGCATGTAGCAGGAACACAGCGTCCCCAAACAGAGGTCAAAGGCTGCCATGGCCTCCTTTAACACCGAAGAGTGGAGGTCAGAGGACAGACGCAGGGGTTGGCAAACATCTTCTGGAAAAAGTCAGAGAGTGAATATTCTATATTCTGCAGACCACATTAAGTTTCTGTGACATATTCATTGTTTTGTTTCAAAAACATTTCAGAGCTGCCAATGCCACCTTAGCTCTAGGGTCGAAGAAACACATTGTGACCCATTTCAGGTGATTGTCACCCCTCCCAGGGGACAGTTGAAGGCCTGGAGTGGCCTCGCAGCCTCCTGGCTTGCCCTTTGTGCCATGGAAACCTGAGCACAGGGCTAGGGCTGGCTTTGCTTTTCTCCTAATGCTCAGAGAGAATGGTGAGTGAATTATTTAGGTTACAAATGAGACAGCTTTAGCGGAGCCAGACAGTAAGAGCCTGCTTTCCTGGAGGCCAGAATGTAGGTTCTGCAGGCTGGTGTGGGGCTCAGTGGGAGAATGCGGAGGTGGGCTCCCACTTCCCTCCTTCCTGGACACTGTCACAGGGTTGCTTCAGCTGCCCCCCCCCTGTATCATTCCAATAAGCTGCGTTTGGGACGTAAAGTATGGAAATGATGCCTCACAAACCCTTGAGAACTGCTAGCCTGCACCAGCCCCCAGCAACCTAGTGTCCCAATTCTGCTGGCCTCCACCGGAGTCCTCCAAGCCTCTGTCCCTTCTGACCTGGCCATGAGTTTATTGGGTGAACTCTGAGGGGGTCTCTGTATAAGGCCAGGAGGGCATCACGTAAGACAGTCTGGCAAAGATGAGAAATGTCCAGGCGCCCCAGCTCCAGCTCCCCAAAATTCTGTATCCAACTTAGTCCAAACCTGCCTGCATCTTGTAGCTATCCAAATGACAGTCTAGAAATAAATGGATTTCCTTGGAGCATGGGGTTCCTGGAGTCTTTTGTCTCCCTCCTTGGGGAGGGCGTTTCAGATCCTCTGAAGTTTGCTGGAACTCCCATCCCCTCAACTCTGCAGGTCTTAGAGAAGCTGAAAACTATAAATTTCTGGTGGCCCCCGGCAGTTTCACTAAAGTTTGTGAATGACACCCTCATTAATGACCCCAGACAGCTCCACAGCATTGAGGCTGCAGCTCCATAAAATAACAGAATTACAGTTGCAAGGGGTTTTAGAAGACAGTTAGACAGCACTCATTTGTCAGCGGAGGAGAGAGTAGTTTAGAAAGGTTAAGTAATTTGCCCACAGTCACACAGCAAGCTGATGGCATGCCCTGCCCAGTGACGCAACACAGCGTTCTTTCCACTAATGTATATCCCACTTTAGACCCCAGAACAGATGAGAACTTGGAGGGAAGACAGGTTTTTAGCCATGACTACTGTGGGAGTCTCATTCTAGAATCACCCAATGCTGTAAGGGCACGGAGCAGGGGGGAGAAGAACGGGAAACTTGTAGAGGAAACACACAGAAGGGAGGGGGGTGAGCATCACCTCTTCAGAACTTCAAACTACAGAACAAAATCAGACAAGACTGACGTTACCTGAAGAAGGACTGATCTTTGTCCTTTCCGGAGGAGGCAGCATGGAGCCCTGTCAGTCTTTGGCAAAGCAGGCACAGTGGTGCATACCTGCAGCCCCGGCACTTAGGAAGCTGAGGCAGAAGGATGGGGAGATAGAAGCCAGTCTGGACCACACAGAGACCCTGTCAAAAGAAAAGCAGCAACAACAGAAAAGGAATGGAGCACCTTGCAGAACTGTGAGGCCATCTTGGCAATCCTAGGTTCTTTATGTCCTGTGCAAACTAAAGCACACAGGCTGAAAAATTTTTTTGTTTTGTTTTTCGAGACAGGGTTTTTCTGTGTAGACGTGACTGTCCTGGAACTCACTCTGTAGACCAGACTGGCCTTGAACTCAGAGATCTGCCTGTCTCTGCCTCCAGAGTGCTGAAATTGATGGTATGCGCCACTGACACCAGGCTTATTTTTTGTTTTGCTAATAAATTTTTATTGAAACATATACTATGATGGTTGAAACATATGCTATGTTTATTTGCTTATTATTGACTATGACTATCTTTGCATTATGACAGCATATCTGAGCCATTGTGAAGAGACCACATGGCTCTCAAAACAAAAATAAATTCATCAGAAACTTTTTGCCAGTCTTTGCAATGTGTTTTACAATAGCCTTCTGAATGTGTACACTCGCAATCTAGAAACGGATGGCTGTATTTGATTCCTGTATTTGGGGTGTTTTTCTTTTCCTTTGCCCTGTGGCCGTGTCCCCTTAAATCCTTCCCAGTGCCTCTTGTGATGTCTAACAACAACAAAACCACAGACATAGAGTATAAGACAGAGTCTAAGAGAAAGACTCCAAACAGATGACACAGCTCTTTTCCAAGTTCATGCAACTACTATTTTTGAACTGCAGGAAGATAACTGTATGTGCATCCTGTGTAAGGATAGGATTGTGCATGCATGTGTGTGGCTGGCATTTCTATGTCTGTGGATTTTAGCATCTCTATGCCCTCAAGCAAGGATGAACTTGGAATGCATAGAAATTTGCTCAGCCTCGACACTGACTAATGATTCAGATGGCTAGACCAGGGCACACTGACTGTTCAGGTCATCTCTCCAGTCCCTGAAACCACTCTTGAGGGCATAGATTCCCTTTATCCTTTCCACAACACCAAATCCATTACTATCAAAATCGTTCTTGTTGTCTGACATGACAAATTCAATGTCCCCAGCCAAGCATCCCAGTCCCTCCTAAGCATAGACTGACACATAGTACAACTCTGATTTGTTCCTCTGTTGTTACTGATTCTGGCTTTTGTTTGTTGTTTGTTTTGTTTTGAGACAGGGTTTCTATGTAGCATGAAACTCACTCTGTAAACCAGTCAGGTCTTGAACTCACAGAGATCTGCCTGCCTCCCGTGTGCGGGGACTAATGGCATGCGCCACCACCAACCTGCTTATTCGGCTTATTTTTTAAAGACAGGATCTTACTATGTAGCCCAGACTAACCTTAAACTCATGGCAATCCTCCTGCCTCAGAAACCCCAGGTCAGTGATACTTAGACATGAAACCCTAAAGATGGGCATTCCCAGCAGTTTCTTCTCATCAGATGCACGAGGTCTACACACTCAGTAGAACTTGCTAAGGCTCTGAGAGGAAATCAAACAATGGGAGGGAGCGCTCCAGAGCCGTGTCTCCTGTGCCTACTCAACTTCCCTGTGCTTTTCCTCCGATAGCTACCATATCCACCAATATTCCACAACCAGTTTCCCAAGAGGCAAAAGAATGCTGACCTAAGCTGAGTGGTTTGCAACTGTAATCCCAACAGTGGGGTGGATGCAGGGAAAGGGTGGGACAGGATGATTTCTATGAATTAAAGATTAGCCTGGGCTATGTACTGAGAGTCAATCCAGTGTGTCTCAAAAAACAAACAAACAAACCAAGGAAGCTGAAGAGATGGTTCAGCAGTTAAGAGTTCTAGTGGCTCTTGCAGAGGTTCAAATTCTCAGCACTTACATGGAGTTCACAAACATCTATAACTCTACTTCCAGGGGGATCTGATGCCCTCTTCTGGCCTCCACAAGCACCAGGTATGCATGTGGTGTATATACATATATCAAGGCAAAACATTCATACACGTAAAAGAAAATAAATAACATATAAAAAGTAAACATTTAAAAATAAACAATAAAATAACAATCCCGATCTAGTTTCTGGATGGTTCTGCATAGTTTGGTATTTCTAGATATTACCTGAAGAAAAACAGCTGCATCACTGTTGTTTTATCACAGAGGTTCCTAGAGGAAAACCTCAGGTATATCAAAGTGTGGTAAGACATATCACTGTTAATTTTGCCTGGAAGGAGAGGCTGGAGGTACCTACACGTGTTTTGTTTGATTGCTTTCTTAGTTTATTGATTTGTGTGTGGAACGTGGGCACATGCAGGTCTCAGGTCGACATCAAGTTTCTTGCTCTGCTCATCTCCACCTTCTTTGTTTGAGGCAGGGTCTCTGAACCCAGGGCTTACAAACTGTCTAGACTGTCTGGCCAGTGGTCTCGAGGATCCTCCTGTCTCCATCTTTCAGTGATGGGGTTAAAGGGTGCCACTATGCCCTGCTTTATTAAACCTACATAGGTGCTAGGGATATGGACTCAGGCTGATTGCACAGCGAGCATTTTTCCATTGAGTCACCTCCCCAGCTCCCCTAAGTGTCTATGCATGCTTTAAAAATATATATATATTTTTTTTGGTTTTTACGAGACAGGGTTTCTCTGTATTGTTTTGGAGGCTGTCGGTCCAGCCTGGCCTCGAACTCACAGAGATCTGCCTGCCTCTGCCTCCCGAGTTCTGGGATTAAAGGCGTGCGCCACCACCGCCCAGCTTTAAAAATATTCTTATTGTTCGCTCTCTCTCTCTCTCTCTCTCTCTCTCTCTCTCTGTGTGTGTGTGTAAGGAGGCCGGGAGCATTAGAGCCCAGGGAGCTGGAGTTACAGGCAGTTGTGAGTCACCCAGTGTGGGTGCTGAGAACCAAAATCAGGGTCTTTGGAAGAGTTTCACTAGTACAGACTCTGTTGCTAAACCATCTCTCTTGACCGCCCGCCACACACACACACACACACACACACACACACACACACACAAATACACAGTTTTTTCTTTCTCTTTTCCATTTGTGAAAGCAACCAGGGAATTTTCTTACTTGAAAACAATAACAAACTATGCAGAATTTCATCTAGACCATGAAAATGAGCAACAGTCAGGCTTAAAGCAAAGGTGTGTTGAGAACGGCCTCGTCCCTGAGTCCTGATGACTCTGTGAGCAGGTCACACATACCTTGGTCATTTTGCCCCCATGGGAACCTGTGAAGCAAGGGTTATTAACATCCTCCTACAGATGTATCTGCTCAGAGAAGAAAAAGGAGCCATGGGACCTCACTGGTGGCCATCCTGCCTGGGCGTCTAGAACACAGAAAGAGAACCAAGGAAATGGATAGTTTTCCATGCGAGAGTTAAACCACAAGTTTTGACATAAGCTGGATGTGATATACATACCTGTGGTCTAGGACTTTGAGGATGCTATGTTGGGGACCTTGTCAAAAAAGGAGAAAGAAAAAGAGGAGGAGAAGGGAGAAGATGAGGGGAAGGGAGAAGAGGAGGGAGAAAGGAGGAGAAGAAAAGGGAGAGGGAGAAGAGAAGAAGGGAGAGGAGGAGGAAAAACGGACAATAATCCAGGTAAGACATAAGCTCTCCAACATAAAGGAGTGCTTGGTTGCCGGGGTGTGGCAAGATAGGGAGGAGGAACATGACAGTATTTTCCAATTTTGGGCTTTCTTTTCATTCCCAGCCAAGGCTGTGCTTACTTTCTCCCACAATCACAGAGGCACTAGATCTGTGGAGATCCAGCGTTCCAACAGCCATCCCCAGATCCTGTGGCCTTTCCACCAAAGCCCCTTGTACAGCTGTAGTCACACAAAAAAGAACACTGAGTAGGTCGATGCTTTGGTTAGTGACTTTTGCAAGAGCCACAATTCAGATCTTAAGCCAGGAGAGGAGTGTATTGATGGACTATCAGTTTTGAGGCTTAGATGACCTGGAGTTTCTGAGGCAGAAATGAAGACATACTGCTGAGGGGCACTGGCTTGCTAGAGTGGACCGAGGATCCTTGACTGTAGTTTCTGTCCTTTGGTTTCCAGGAATCTGGGGATCACTTTCTCTCTGGTGCATTATCGAGTTTCTTTTTAGCTTCTGTTATGCACATGGATTCCCAAGCCATGTAGTTTTGCTCCAGCCAAGGCCAGCCCAGGTGGAGACCGCACTTCAGAGAGCATCTCTTCTGGGGTCCCCACAAGAACTGACAGACAGATGTTCACACAAAGTGGTCCACTTAGACTTGAGTGGCCTATCCCAC